TTTAGCGTATTTGGAAAAGTTGGTGATAGCTGATACCTCCCAATCCAACTTCCTTCTACTTCAGACGTGGACAGCTCACGCCTTGCCCATTTCCTCACTTTCGTGGTCACGGGACGGCCGAAAACTGCTTACATCTTCGGCTGATACTACTGTCGCAGTATGGAACGTCATTGAGGGAGCCTGCATGTACAGGTTGAAGTATTCGGCTATGGTCACTTCTGCCGTGTTCAACCCCAGGCATGTCCTTTCTCAGCATATTCATATTTTCAAACAACTTAGATTGAGTTTGAAGTATTGAAGAGCTGTCAGTTGATTCACTTGCAGCTGGAGTGCTCGTATATCGAGTTTCTCAGATTGCTTCTTCAATCAATTGCTCTAGGAACGACAACCAAGTTCTGGTTCTACAACTTAACTATCCTCCATGCCTTGATGAACTCGAGCCACGGTCTCAGCGAATAATTACCAACGATATCCCAGGCGCTGTGGAAGATGGCGTTTCTGCCATCGCGTTTGATCGCAGAGCAAACTACCTCATCACCGGTACAAATAAAGTAAGTGGTTGGTTACTTTCTGTTCGTTTTAGTGCTATCGATATTGAGCTAAACCATTCAAAAATAGGTCTTCGTTTGAATCTTCATTTTCAGGGGAAGCTTGTTGTGTACAATGCAAAGACTTTGAAGATGGTGTCGTGGGGAAGGCAGAACAGTGTTCAGCAGGTGAAGCGTTGATTTGATTATCTCTTTTGATTGTTGCAGAGGCGCTTTTGTTGCAGGTTAAACAAATAGTCATTCCGAGAAGGGGAAATTTTATTATAACAAACTCTCAAGATCGGATTATACGCACATTTGATTTGAATGACATACTGGACTGCCAAAATGGTTCCACAATTGAGCCAAAGCATCGTGTCACCGACATTGTCAACAAGGTATTTTATGATTCGATGAGAATTCGTTAGATACAGCTCCTGATGAGCTCCGAATTGCTATTATCAAAATGTGTTGATTTCAGGCTTCCTGGAAAGCTGTTTGCACAGATAGCGAAGGTTATTATATATGTGGTGCGAGCACAAAAGCTCACTCTCTGTATGTTTGGGAACGAACTACGGGCACACTAATCAAGATATTGCACGGAACTAAGGTAGAATTCAGTCTTAATAATGTGAAAAGTCCCACTCATACGTAATTGGTTTGAATGATTATTTATTTCATTTTCGATTGCTTTACCCTGTTTTATACAGGTTTCAGAATTGCATACTTCGTTATCCGTCTTTGACGTTTTTTTGGCCGTTTCCCCTTTACCTCAACACGGAGTAATTTCTGAATTACAGGGGGAATGTTTGATGGATGTTCAGTGGCATCCTATACGCCCAGTTATACTATCGGTTGCTAATGGCATAGTATCTGTTTGGACACAGGTTCGTCAAGGGTTCGATTACATGAAACCGCGCGATTTCCGTCCTTAGTAGCTTTGTCTTCCTCTTTTATCAATTCTTTGTGTTTTAAGGCTCACGTCGAAAATTGGTCTGCTTTCGCACCTGAGTTCACTGAGCTAGAGGAAAATGCTAAGTATGAAGAGAAAGAAGGCGAGTTCGATCTGGAAGATGAAGATGCCGAAGTTGATGATAAAGCAAATTCTCAGGTTAGACCTCAACTTCTCACCTAGTCTTCTACAGAGTAGCATTCTTTGTTGCAGGATTCTGACGAGGAGATCATCGACATAGAGTCCTTGAAACCGAATGAAATACTTTGCAGTTCGGATGAGGTTGTTATTATTTGCATTCGAGTAGCAACGCTATTTAATGTCATTGGGAAGTGTCCATGTAGTATTTCAGGAAGACAACATAAATGCTTTGTTACCTGATGTGACGCTCAAAACTGGTCCGCTTTGGTTCTTACCAATTACACCAGAATGTGACTCCAACGAAACTTTACCGCTACCTGGAGGACAATTTACAGGTGCTTTTCAACAGATAAAAATATCGGTGGAAATTGTGTTCAGTGAATTGCTGAGTTACTGGTCGTGTCTTTCCACTTTTATATGGTCTTTAGTATTGTAATATTTCACAGTATCGAACTCAACTGTCGATAGGTTTCGAATGTATCACCAAAGCTGTCTTATGAAACCCTTTCTACTAATTGTAAGAATAATGCATGATTTTCCAGATGGTCGTCGCGCTTCCAGTCAAATTCTGAGCGCTCTTGAAGAAGAAAGCCGAAAAAGAGCCATGTTTGATGATGGTGTGAAAGCTCCTATGAAGGGACGAAAATTGAAATAGTCGATTATAGTGTTACCCGCTTTCTAGTTTTGGGAAAACCTTGAAGTTGGATAGCTTGTGCAGTTGTACAGTTTCTGCAAACATGTTGTATATACTTGTATAGATCCCCCACATTAACATATTTCCCACCTCCTTTTATTTATTTTCTCGAAACAGTTTTGTGTGATGAAGTCGTACAATTGTAAGTAAATATGTAGCTCATTGGGCTGCACCTAAAAGATGCTGAGATATGGCGAATAAGTGGTAGATTCATGTGCTCTGTCTTTTCCAATAGGGAGAAATGAGTCAGTAACTCCGTCAATCATAGTTCAAGGAAGGAAGGCGAAATATATTTACAAGGTGAAGAAATATTGCTAATCACTTTGCGTGGTTCTCGGAACTGTGAGTGGAGTGAACTTACAGGTTATTCTTCCTTAGCTCTATTACTTTCAGGGAAAATGTGGAGGTGCTGTAGTAAATTTAGTGCAGTGCAGTCCTTCGAAGATATGAACTGATTAATGTAACCTTGGAGCCAAGATCTAGATTACTGCTAAAAGTACTAGAGGTCTTATTAGCAGCGATGGAGTCAGTAAAGGAACAGTTCACGATAGAAATGGTTTATGAGTATTCCGCTAGAATAAATTTGAGGCCGCCGCGTATACCATATCGGGCACTATCAGGTCGAAAAACGGCCTTAGGGAGTTATAAAGGTCCAAATATTGGTCCGTCTATATCCTCGGACGAGTTTCACTGGCATTGTAGAGGCTGCACCGATCACAAGGAGACCCGTGTAGGAAGTTCAAACAACCTGTCATGATCCAAAGCGACAGTGAAAGACAGTTCTGTACAGATTTGGCTTGATGTAGTCAGCTCTTTGCGCAATTGCAGTAACAGAAATCTCGTCCGAATACGCTTTCTAGCCATTTAAGGAGGGGGGGGGGGGGGGGTGTACGGAACTTACGTGCGTCCGAGGATGCGCGCGGCGAAGTACGTGGCGACTTCGAACGAAGCACTCAGTTTGAGGAAAACTAGCAAAACCTGTACCTTTGCTATGTAAGAAGCGCTACAAACGAAATAATCAGTTGTCGAGCAGTCTGCCTGCTGTTTGTTATTGAAACACGAGTTTCTTGACAGGTTAGGAAGAGTACTAGGTAAAGGACAACTATGCCTGCAAGTACGACTCCAGAGTGGTTGGGTACGATCGGTCGCATCTACACCATCACAAGACGCATGGACGTGCCGCAAGAACATAAGGCGTCGATAACGTTGTTTTATTTACTGTGATTGCTTTTCTCAGTTTGATTTTGTGATGACAGTTGAACCCGGATTTCAGTGACTGCATCATTTAGAAAGTCATACGAACATCTGGACGTATGCCATCCGTTGCTACCAACCCGATGGTCATCCTTCTTCACGAAAACTCTGAACGAAAAGAATGATAATGAACTAGAGCGAAGAGGTCTTACTGGACCACAGTGACTCACGACAGATGACAGAGGCTCCCGCGAATCATTGCATATCCGGGCCTTTAACTAGCACCATCAGCTACCCACGGGTAACGGAACTTCTCCCCGATTGCGGCAATTCTCTCTGCGGCATGCGGCAAATCTTTTTCAGTTGTCTCGCGGCTTCAAACTGCAACTACCGTATTCAGCCCACCTCCCCGACAATCGATTAAACGCAGTATTTTTCATTGACTGCCTTATTTTTTTGATTGGTTACCAGCCTTGATACCGGACCTGCTGCCCACCAGACATACTCCCTCTGACCGGACCGCAGGGGAACGATTCT